GTTCTGATGATCCCAATGTACGGCATGATATTTTGGTCGTTGCGTGAGCCGTTTACAAAATCTAAGAAAGATACCTCGGCTGCAAATAACCGTACAAACTACGAGAAAAAGGCGTTGCGAACTGTAATCATTACGGTATCCGTATACGTTCTCTTCACCGCACCATTAAATGTACTGTGGATCATTTTTTATTTTGGTTACGCCGATATACATATTGTAAGTTTATTTGCAAATATTTTCAGGTTCCTGGGTTTCATCAATTCAGCTATAAATCCGATCATATATAACGTTTCAAATGATGCATACAGAGGCGAGTTTATCGCATTATTTGTTTGTTTGTCAACAAATTTAAAGAAAGCCAAACCTAATAGAAATGCGCAACACCGGCAATCTACTTCTGTAATCACTGTATCAAGCACTTTGTCGACAGATATGTAGAGGCGGCCAGTCTGCTAATGTTGCCAAAATGCTGTTAAGGAGATTTGATATTGACAATTTCTCAATAGCCTATATAACTTAAAATACATATATAAATACGGTGCCCTTTCTTTTGATTATTACCTCCGCAAAAGGGGGTTATGTGTTCACAGCAGTTGTCTGTTAGCAATATTTCGCAAAAACTAAAGGAATCGATCATTTAGTTTTAAATTGAGTAGAATGGTACATAGGCCTAATAATGTAAGAAAATGATTATTTAATTTTTAGAAGAAACACTTATTAAACGATGAGATCAAGCAGGGGCGGCGCTAGCGGGGGGTTCAGGGGGCAAAGGACCCCCGTCGGGGACTTCTGGACCCCCAGCTTGGACTGCCCTCTCGGGGAATTTTCAGCATGGTCGTCGGGGAAAAATCAAATTTCGAGTGCCGAGTACAATTACAATTTGAAGCATGTCTTTCTAAGCTGTCAAACTTTTTGGGGATTAAAACTGTTTAGTGCGAGCAGTGCTACCCTATGGGCGAGGTGTTGTATACTATTGCGATCGTATGGGTTGCAGTGGTGCGCCAGCTCTTTCCCATAGTTACCAACCGTCTCTCATCGTGCGGGACGGTCCCGCATTTCAAAGTGATTTTGGATGAATTTTGCAGAAACACATGCGTGATCCTAAATGTCACGCATTTTGGTCAAGTCTGTGCGTGATAACGAATTATCACGAATTTAGGGGTAAATGTATTAAAAATTATAAGAAATTGGTTTTATTAAAAATATAAAAATCGGTCATGCAATAACTTGAGTCATTAGAGAACAGTATTTACGTGAATACTTATTTCACTGTCGCGTTACTAAAAATTGATCAGTAAAGAAATATTTGTTTGTCTACATACTTTGGGTGCTGAAATTAAACGTACCTTGAAACTCAAATTGTACGCGGCTTTATTAAAAATATTTTGGCTTATGAACCTGTATTGTCAACAAACACTCCATGAAATTGTTTTAAAAGAGCTTAAAATGCTCAGATCGTCGGAGCACCACGGGCCACGCCCCCGCCGGAGCTCCACCCCTGAACCCCACTCCTCCTCCAGCCAACTGGTGTAGTCACTCACGCATTTCAAATCTCTCAGACTGGTAGCTTTCCCGACAGGGGCTGGTACCTCGACAGGGGGTTAGTACCCTCGACAGGTGGACTAGTACCCCCAACATTCTTTTTAAATGAAGAATCCCATGCTTAACACAAAATTTATTATCTTTAAATAATGAAAAAAAATCCCCGACAAATTTGATTTTTCCCAAATTAATTTTTCCCCGACCAGGGGAGGGAGAGGGATGGGAGTAGAGATAAGCTTCCTCTACAGGGGGAGTGGACTCCCATCGGGGAGCTCGGACTCCTCGTCGGGGAATTCCTGGCGCCGCCCCTGAGATCAAGGTCACGGGAAACGATTTTCTTTACCCACGAGCATAGAAGAAAGTAGACCTAATTGAATCGCCCATCACACACGGCCTGCATATTGTTCAGTATTCAGGCACAAGGTGGAGGTATGCACTCTATGAGCTGACTGCTCAAATTATTAGTGTTTTTAATTATTTTACCGTGTTTTCACTGATGATTACTAAAAATACTGAAATGTATAATACAGTTTTGAGAAAGGGGATTCAACAAATGAGTTCGGGACGGCAGGACTGCTTTTTACAATTGCATGTATAAACACATCCCAGCGACTAGTTCGATGTAGCAATAATTTCTACCTCTGTCTAGTGTGTTGGGTTTACTAGACTGGTATTAAAAAAAAAACAAAAAAAAAAAAAAACAATCCAATATTCCTTATTCACCATACACATAATTATGAATAATGTAAAACAATAAAGAATTATAATCTGGGAAATAAACTTAGACCTACGAATATTATTAGCGATGTTAAATAGTGTCTTGGATGGGAAAGCAGAGAATTACAACATGGGTTGTAGGTCTACATAGGTCTGTCATATTTACATGATAATACACCTACATGGTATATTCTAAATGTATCCCAATGAATGTTTTGAGTAATGTTTATTATATTCAGAATGTATCCCACATGCTGCAGTGCTCCTTCTACGACATTTTCAATATTTTTTATTGTGTCATATCATACTGTAGTTTATTTCTTAAGTATAATGTATAACATTGTCCATAGTTATTAGATATTGCATAGACTAATTTATGACCTGATAAACGTTCTGTTTCATTAAGATGCCCATTCAGTCAAGATAGGTTTGTTTCTTCGCATACCAACTACAGGGTATGTAGGCCTTATCGAGTTTCATTTAAAACAGTATCATATATATAACTAATATATAAGGCGACCCGCTTAAAGACGACCCCGAGTTTGAGAAGATTTTTGGACGATTTTTGTTTGTCTGGCGTATATTAAAGACTACGCCCTGTTTCATTGTCGGAATTCCTACACTTTTCTCCTTTCTATGGCATTTATACTACATCAACCTGGCTAAAAACGGAGCCAAATGCAAGGATAATCTTCCAAAATAATACGATTTTATGAGTTTTTAAAGACCTAAATAAATGAAAAACAGAGAGCAACAATTTCAGACTACATTTACCTTTAATTTCTACGTTTCTATACATACCTTGTTTATAAAGCATAGTATATTTACCATTGCATACTTTCATATTTTGTTATTATCTTTGTTTAATCAGAAAGCACAAATAACATTCATACATTTTCATCATAAAGTAATAACAGCATGGGTCTCTATAGTTTTACTAAATTTAAACCATATAAATGTCCCCATTTTTAAATAATGATATCGGCTCAGTAATATCTTGTACAGGTATCTTTTTGTTTAGATTCTAAGCCTTGAAATTTAAGAAGAGCGATTTAAAGGGGAAACAATATTGACGTTATCTGGTTGCTTGACATAATTGGCAACACCTTGTTTATATACTATTTTAAAAATATCTTTTGTATATATTGTACACTATATTTAAAATAAGATGAGTAAGTTCTGAAATGCTGAAAAATTGAAATACATAATGATGGGTTACTGACATACGAACAAAGATAAAAATTTAAATGAATGCCATGTATTTGTGCTTCCCAACAAAGCACTATCCACCACTCAAATATGATAGTATATTTTTAAAATCTGCCACCATACCTCCTATTGTTAAGAACTGGTACACTTAAAAATGTTAGGTCTATTGCTAACATATACTGTATACACATAAGTTATTACTGCATGTATACAGTAATACAAACGAAGATAAATGATTGTGGTACACCATGTATATATTTCTGGAAAAACTGTTGTTTTAATTGAGTTTCTAAATGTCTTGATTGAATTGTTTCAATTGCAATCAGCAGAGTAATATCTGCAGAGAATCAAAACAAGCATTGGCCATTTTTAACAAATCAACATGAAGCTGCATTCTTCTATAT